AGTAAGAAGTCACTAGATGAAGCATGCATTACCAGGCTATCACTTTTAGTTCTTTGAGGAATACAAAATTTACCCGTTCCTATAAATTCATTGCATATCCTGGAGAATAAGCCTTTGACATATGGGGCTTTTCTTTCCTTAAAAGTCTCAACCTCTGTGCAAGGCTTGAGTGCGAGGGAAAGACAGGTCTGCATTCAGAAGTTAAAATTTATTTTTAAGGTATGGTTACATATTAAAACAGAAATTATCTTCTAAAATTGTGGTTCACTTACATAAAAGAAATGCCGGAGCTCTTTTATTTATGGCTCCGGCGCAATTTAAGCCCTGCATTATCGATCCATGAAAGCTCCTTCAAGAAGACAGCTCTAGAATGCTTCGCTTTAATCCAATAAAGATTATAATAATTTGGTATTTCCCCTCTCTAGCATTATACCGCCAGGTTTTAAAAATTTTAAAAATATTTGCGTAATTTTCCCTTTCCATTCAGAGAACAGGCTTCTCTAAATTTTAAAATGGACGTCATTACGTCCAAGTAGTGATTATTTTCGTCTTACGAACAAAGACGAACCTTCACAAACTAGCTGCGAAGGTCACGCTGAACCTTTCACTTCTAAATGTTGAAATTTATGCCAGCCTACTGCAGGAATTAACCTCTCATAGCGAAGTAAACACGAAGTGACATTAAATGCCAGCCTACTGCAGGAATTACCCTCTCACAGCGGAGTAAACACGACATTAAATCTCGAATTTCGCTGAGACACATGCACTCTCACCTTCTCTAATTATTTATGGATAATATGAGGACTAACGAGTAGCAAAGACTATAAAGAGAAAGGACGAGATTCAAGTTACAGAGAATTAAAAATGAAGATATTTTATTAGATATTGCAATTGTTAGAAATTTTGTATAAATGTAAATAATTCTAGTGAAAATTATATGTGAAATTTTAGTTAGTATCCTTTGTATAATGTAATATGAAAAGCCTGAAGATATGTTCTACCGGAAAAATAAGATTACAGGGGCAAGTATATTTAACATTGAGGTAAATGGCTATCTCTGTAAATCAGCGAGATATCGCCAAGTTGGCGATGGTTTTCGCGACTAATTTTGGTGGCCAAATTTCGCGACATTTTGGTGTAGTCCCTATATAAATGTAACTCATTCCTATATTTAACTGTTATATCCGGCTTGCTACTTTAACCGAATATGCCTTTCACTAATTCTGAGAAATAAAAGGTACTAGTCGTTTCTCGGCGGGCGGGTGACTTCCTTGTACAGAATATTAAATTATACGCATTTTTCCTGCATTTCATTTAAGCTTAGTTTCTTCAATTTCATTAGATATATATTTCTCATTCAATTAATTCAGAGCTCACTTTGAGACAAGGCAAAAATACATAAAACCTAAAAGTATCTTTATTGAAAATTGAAAAATATAAAATACCAAATAGAGTTAAAACAAGTAAAAAAAAAATTTTACAATTAAAATTACAGTTTCTACGCAAACACAAGCAATTTGGCCAGCGGGTAAGAAGGCAGATTTTTCGGTGCACAAAACTGAAAATTTATTTTTGATCCCACTTGACAAAAAGACACTGAAGGTGCAGAAACTGACTTAATTCACTGTTCTGCTAAGTTTCAAATGTAAACAAATATGGCTGCTATGGTTAAAAATTGGGCTTAGCTGCACTTAAACAACTTTTAAATTGTTGACAATTCAACAACTGTTGCATGCAGATTAACTAAAGGCATAAAAACCATAATCGGATGATAAGAACAACATAATTCAATCATTTTTAAAGCAAAAAATGAAAAACTTACCAACATATAAGAATAAAAAATACTGAGCTCACGGAGCCGAGTAACAGAGTGGGTATACCCACCCTCTCTCTTCTTATATGTATATATATATATATACCCAATCTACCATTTTCCCAATATGTATATACTATATATAATCAACTATATATATATATATACCATTTTCTGCTTCTCCAGAGCTGAATTATACAAGAAAGACAGTTTGGTCACCTGAAGAATTAAGTAAATTTTCATTTGATGGTTGTCATATGATTTCAGTTAAGTTCGCGTTTTTTCAATTTTGTTTCTAATAGTTTTTTCAGTTTTTTTGCCAAAGTAGGCTCAGATTTAGTTTTATTATATAAAGCAATCTTTGAAAAGTTTTTAATTTTCTTGGAATTGAAAGTTCAGTTAAGTATAATCAGGGACTGCCCATTTTTAGAGTATTGTTTAAATGACTATTTGGTTTAAAGTATATTTGCATTGCGCTCTATATTTACATTTGATTTTGAATTTCAGATTTGCATATATTTTTATACCAATCTGATTTTTTTTTTTCGAATGGTCATTTTACATAATGTAAAGTTTTATGGTTTTTTTGTGTGGAAATTGACCACACACAATGTTATGTTTTATTTTTTTTCTAAGTGTTTTGAAGGCATGTAAGGAAAATTCTGGTACATTTGATATTCACTTTTTTTCAGATTTATATCAATATAATGTAATGAAACTTTTTTTTCAGCTTTTCATCTCAAATGAACCAGGAAAACGAAATATGTTTTTGAAGCAAATTAATCAACTTTTATGAAGCTTTAATTCATTTTTCCCTGATTTGGAATTTCAGTAAAAGAAGATTAATTGTTATAGTTTTATTTCTTGTACATTTTTAGTTTTTGACTTTAGTAATACAAAGTTAAATAGTCCTTTTTTAAATTTTGAATTGTTTAGATATTGTGTTAACCTCTTATACAAGGATGGAATTATTCATATTGTTGAGGATTTGCCTTGCTTTGATTCCAATTTACTTTTAACTTTAGATGCTCTAAGTTTATGTACCCAATATGTTATATACACCACTATATATATACTTTTTTGTGCGGCCGACTGCAACAAAAAGGGAGGTGAACAACAACATGTCACAGCAGTCCTATATACAAAATTTCAATGTTCTGAGATTGCTCGTTTTTTAAATTATGTGAGATACATAGATACATACATATGTACATAACGAAAAAAACTCTTCTGAATCCATTTTAAATCCTTTTTGCAACCCGTTTTGGGTATAAGAGTCCTTTAGTCTGTCCTTATATACAGAAGTCAAGGAAAAGCAACGTTAAATTTCATTCGATAGTGGTCAAAATGGATATTTTTGTCGAAATATGATAACCAAAAATTCTCGCAATTACAACACTTCCTTTACTTCATATAAGGAAGTAAAAATGAGCTAGATAGAGTTCAGTTTAAGAAAGTATGTATAACTTATACATACCTAAATATTATTGTATTTAAAAGGGAAAAATGAAACAAATTTTAATTTAAATGATTTCTACTACTGCTTTATAAGTAAGCACGATGCAATTATTATTATTATTTTTAAATAACTAATGATTTTGACCTGTGACAATACCGACACAACTCAAACACTATTTTGCAGTAAGCAATTCAAAGTTTTCTAATACCTCTTCTAAAGAGTCCTCTTCTTTCCACATTAGGGTAAATTCTAATTATGAAAACAGACCGTTACTATTTTTTTATTTAAAATCATTTAGCTTTTTTACACACACACACACACACACACAAAAAAAAAAAAAAAAAAGAGAGGAAACTATCTTTTTCACTATTGCTGTTTTTACTATCAGTCAGCGTTATAAGATAATCCAATTCTTCATCTGTCATTTCACGATCATCATTCTTCACAAATTCTTTGACTTCTAGAATTTTGTATGATTTTTCTTGGCTTCATTTTTCAGTTGAGGCCCACCAGCGGCCGAGCGGTAAAGTCGCTAAACACTGGTAGTTCGGTCCGAGGTTCGAATCCCGCGAACGGGCTGGCTGCATGGGTGTTTTTTGTGGTTTTCCCCATGTGTAACGTGTATACGAGCCAGTTTCCCTTAGAAAGTCCTCCACGAAGGCATTCCTCCCCTTAGGCAGATAGCCCTAGTGTGCTTTGCCATAATTAAATACACCAACACCAACACACCATTTTCAGTTGATGAAAATCACTATTGACCAGCCAGTGTTGATACCAGCAAACATTTACTGTTGATGAATTCACCTGTTTCCATGTGATCTCAATTATTTCTATGTAGTGCCTTACATTAAATTCCTTTTAAAATACCATTAATACGTCATTCTTTCTTTTGTTTAGTACTTTATTTGTAGAGATGTAAACATGCATGTTACATACATTTAGAATGTTTTATCATTCCTTGTTCTGATGGTTGCAATACGGAAGTGGTGTCTGGGGAAGGAATAAACCTCTGAGTCATTAAAGAGGACTATTGGAACGTGGCCAGAGCTCTGCAGTGTACCACGCATAATTGAAATTCTCATGTTGGGCAAACTGAATGGAGACAATTAAGATAATGCATAACAAGCAAAGCTTCATTCAATGAGGGTTTATTGTACTAAAATCCGTTTTAAGCTTTTCCTTTTAGGAATGCCAATTGTATACCAAATTCCAAAATTTGCTGCTTGATGCAGTCACACATGTTGTACCAACTCTGACACTGATGCTAGTAATAATATGTTTGACAGAAAAACCTTTATTTATTCTTATCACTGAATACAATTACAAGCAAGCTACAAATATACAGTACACAGAATTATACTTTTTAAAGAAAAAAAAAATTCTTATAGATGAATGAAATTGCATCTTTCAATAGTCTGTCTACATTTCAACTAAATTAAAATATTGTTTAGCAAAATAAAAGTTAAATAATAATAATAATAAATTTTAATATGGAACGAAATTGAGAAATTAAGATGCTTTAATAACTGACTTTGTTTAAAGATTAATTTTTATACTTACTTTATATATAAGAGTCTCAGAAATCCAACAAAAAATGACATTTAGATAATCTCCCTCCTTGCATTACTTTAAATGAAATTATACATAAAAATAACAAAATATTTCGTAATTTACTTATGTTTTGAAAGACTCTTATGAATTTATATTTATAATTAAAAAAATGTAACATTTACATTATAAATTTATTGTTTTTAAAGTTACATATAATATATAAGGAACCATACATACACACAGAGAAAGAAAAAAAAAATTCCACAGAATCATTATATCAGCAAAACAATCAAAGCAAAAAGGTACACATAAAAATGAACATTATCAAAAATATCTTCATTTCACTCAAATAAAAATTTTCTTCTGCCATTTAGAATCTATTTACTTGCAAACATTACTAACCCCTTCTGCACTAAATATCTTTTCAATAAATACACTGTACCTGAATACCAGAAAATTAAGTTTTGCTCCAATGATTTATTTGACCATCTTTCACATTTAAATACTTAGCATTTTACATATGTAATATTTAACAGAGCTTATTTTTTTTAATATTTATTTAGCTAAACTATTTATTTGTGTTATCTAGAGAAATATTCAATGCTGCAAAATGCATTCCCCCCCTTTTTTAGGAAATCAGCAATTATAAACGCATCCAAACAAAAGAGAATCCACTTTACAGACTAAAGAAAATTTCAAAACGTTGCCTTGGTGATAGATGAGGAAGTATTTTTGAAAATAAAAATGAATTTCATGAGTAATGCGATGATAATACGAAAACTATGCTGATTACTGCTAATGTCTCGTAAGGATTAAAAAAAAAAAAAAAAAAAACTATGGTCAATAGTATGATATGTCAATAAGATGTTATGACCCTAACTATAATAAATGTCTAATAGCCTGGCATCTTTTTCTGAAATATTCCTACTGAACAAAAGCACAACAAAAGTAAAGTGGGCATTTCATTTTGCAATATTCAAAAAGGCCTGGAAGCTTTTTGCCAGTTTCAGGTAGTTTTTTGGAGGGTTTATTTACTTTTTCATCTTGATTAATTTAGAATATTTTCAAAATATTATAAAAATGTGATAAGGAAATAAAATGCAAACATGTGACCTTATTAATGTACATAACCTGGATGATATTAATCCAACCTATTGACCAAGGCGTTATTCAAAACTTTACATGCAAAATGCATTCCCCCCTTTTTTAGTAATATTTCTTAAACACAGAAATATGTGCAATATTTCTTAAATTCTGATTGCAACATCAAAGGCTTCCAAGTTCAGTCAAACACAAAAGATGCGATTTTCATTGCTACTATTACATGAAAGCATGTAAGTATCACAACATTAACAAAAGCTTAGCAAAAATTATGGCCAAATGTCATGAAGCGAAATTCTATCGAAAAAGGTGAAAGTACTGAAGATCAATGACCAAATAATGAGTTACTGGAAACAGTTAAATATCCTTCAAACATTGCATAGATCAAGCGTTCTGAGAATAAAATTATTTAACAAATTGTGCAAAAGGAATGAATTGTGGAAGAATTAACTGACAGCACAATTCAAAATCTCTTGAATCCTCAGGTAAGGGGGAATGATGAAGACAACAACCAAAATCACCTTGAATGACGGTGGTAAAGTGTTATATATACTTGGAAAATTCATCATAAAAATTAAATAATACTGGAGAAATAATAAATATTCATGTTTTAAAAAATTATATATTTTTCTAAAGAAAAACTGGAATCTGCAAAGCAACACAATATTTGAACTTTATTTAGTAAAATTCAAGACTTCAAAGCAAAAAACCTAAGTAAACTGAATAAATTTTTTCCATTACATATGTTTGCAGAATCACTATGTGTAATTTTTTTCATTCTTTGATTCATTAATTAAAATAAAACGATTTGTAATATTATGCAATGCTAGTTCCATAATACCCATCACTGAATGTGTCCTGAATGTGGTATATTACAGTATTTTGTTGGGGTGAAAAAATTAGATTTTGACATAAAACCTTTGAATTGTCTCATGACCTTTGATTATCAAAATAAATATCTGTATGTCTCCAATGCTGCAGAAGAAGTTAATCCAACTAGGTGCTTAGGTTTTACTTTCAATCAATCATAATTACATAATTTATTAATATTCTTTTAATAGTAATCTTATTTTAATGTAGTATTCCGTGCCTTTTTATCTTTTCTTTCTTTTGCATGTCTTAACCATGATTTAATTGCAAATTCAATCTGGGATCTTGTTACATCACTTCCATTCTGTTCAAAAACAGCATCTAGAACAATTATAAATAGAATTAAATATTGAAAATTCTATCAACTTTTTACAAATAAAAACATTCAAAAAATAATATTTTCAATAATTTGATTAAACATGGCTATTTAAAGGACTCTCTAGCTCTGGAGCTCTAGAGACAATCATACAATACAGTTTAAAAATTATTTTACACATTTAATACAGTTTAAAAATTATTTTACGTTCATTTTCAAGTTGTACGATAGTGTTTGATTATTAATTATTATCAATAGTTTCAATTAGAAAAGGATCTGAATTTTAGACTTATATAAAGCCCATTCTGGTAGATCTATTTCGTTGAAACTTGGTGTGTGTGTGTATATATATATATATATTATATGGGCCACGGGAAAATGAAAACTAGAATAAAAAATAATTTTCAGTTTTGGGTCACCAGTTGAGAAGTGGGTACAAGAAGAACATAAAACTTTATTTACTCACAGCATTTGTTCAATGTGCATTCCATTTGAGTCAACCGCACATTCAACACATATTTATAACACATTCAACAGTAGTACAAAAGGTTTCTTGAAAATTTGCAACAGCATGACATGTTATGTTTGCTTTCATGCTTCCTCCAAAGACATGATCTTTCAGGAATCCTTGCGACCAGAAGTCACAGAGATTCAAGGTCAGGCACTCAGAAAATTACCTAATCATTTCCAAAGTAGGCAATGAAGCAATGCCTTCATTGGTTTGGCAATGTGAGGTGGTGCACCATCCTGCATGAAGACAGTAGCCTCTAAACATTTTCATTCAAGGCAGGAATAACTTGCTGCTGAAGAAGTTTGCACTAATGGGCATCCATGATGGGACACATTTCAGGGGCTTGAGGAGCTTTCTCCTCCAAGAAAAAGGGTTCAGAAATGAAATCAGCAGTAAAACTACACCTTACAGTAATATAATCCGGATGCAGAGACTGTTCATGCACAATATTAGGATTTGTAGTACCTCATATGCGAGAGTTTTGAGCCTTAACTGCTCCATCTAGGGCAAAATGCAACTCATCTAACCAAAAAAAGGCTCCAAAGAGGCCATGGACTGTCAACAGCTATAATTGTCAACAGAAGGCTAGCATAACCAGTGAACTTGCCCTGGTCTGCAGGATGTCGACACCTTCATAACTTCCTTACTAAATTGCATGAAAAATATTATCTGTTGGTTAAAATTTGAACTATTAATTTTTATTGCAGATTTCTTTCTCCCCATGGTCTATATAACCTATATATACCAACTTTCAATGAAATAAGGCTACCACAATGGGCCAAATGGTTGTAGGTTTAAATAGAGTAATTTTAAATTATAACCACCCATTATATAAGAAATATACTTACAGAGACTTGCAAACTATAAGTTGCTGAAAATTTTTATCATTACCATTACATTTTATTCTGGATACAGATGTCATAATAGGCAGAATTAGAAATTTTGTTACTATGTGTTAGATTTTATTTATCACACACATGGATAAAATAAAATTTTTTGAAAAATAATATTAAGTCTAAATAAAATGACTTTTTAAATGATTAATTTATTTGAGTAATGAATGCACTTTTATAATACTGAAAATAAAAGAAATATCTTAAAAATCATAGCATAGCATAAATTGCCTATTTATCAAAGACAGCATTTTAGTACAGAGTGGAAAAAATATCCCTTTAAAGCATTAAGAAAAGTTTAGAAATTTGGATTTTAAAATTTTAACAAATTGTAACACAGAACAATAATAAAATCATGATAAGCTCACTAATAAAAATATTTATTATTTTCTATTATAAGAGGTGCTATACTTTTCACACTCTAACACTAGACATTGCTACAAGGACTGTAGAGTAATGCAGAACATTGGCATAAAACAGAGTTATTGCATTTGACAGGAATACAGACCACAAGACCTTATAAGATGCTCAAAAGTCATTGTACAAAAGTCCATCAGGCCATAGAATAATTCTTAAGACAGTATGGATAAAAACTATCACATTATCATAGCTGCCAAGCCTTAAATATGAAAAACTGGGACTTTTTTTCACATAAAAACCTGGAGTTTCCGTAAGGTTTTCGTTCTTATCACAATGCTGATCTAAAAGAACGCCAAAGTGACTTAAATTCACTTTATAATGATTTACTAGATTACTGAATCATTTGTAATATGATTCTGATTTAAATATATTACTATTTAATTAGTTATTTTAAATGTTATGTTCTTTGGTTAATTTCATTTTGTATTTTTTAAATTTGTATACTAAGAAAATTCTGCCTAGAAAGAAGTTTTTGTGTCTAAAACTACTTTTAAATACAAGAAAAATAAAATTAATGTATGTACTAAGGTATGGATAAACATATTAATATAAAATAAAATTATGTACAAATATTAACTGGTTAAACATTCGTTGAATCTTCATAAAAAGTTCTAAAAATTAAGTTATGAAAGGCCTGAAACCATAAATACTGGACTACTGACATTTAGAAATGTGTTATCTAATTGGAAGAACCACATTTTTTTGGTCATTAATATAATGGGCAAACAACTGTAAAATATATAAAATGTCTCTAATCATCAGCCATTCTCTAAGCGGTTCTCAACTGGTGTTATGCAAAGAAACAAAGTATTTTTAACCATTAAATTAAAAAATCTCATAAAGAAAAAGAACAGTTGATGAAATTTCCTGTGATCAAACTCTAACTGAAGATTTCGAAAATGACACACTTGTTAACTTTTGGCTGAACCGAAAAAAAGAATTTAAAGGCATTTCAAATAAAGCTATCCAATTTTTATTGCCTTTTTGTAAAACCTGTTTGTGTGAACAATGATTTTTCCATGTTAAATTTGAAATATAAATATAGATCAAAGTTAAAAGTTGATCCTAATTTATCGTTAAAGTTAAATGAAATAAGAGCAAACATAAAGAAATTGAACTCTCTTAAACAGACCCAAATTTCACACTAAATTTTAGAATTAAAGTATTATAACTGAAATTTTGATAATTAAAACAGTAATCAATTTTTAATCTAATAATTTTTATGTGTACATATTTAATACAAATAGCCCAATAGGTTGTGCAAATGGCAATATATATACATATTTTAATATTTCTATTGAAAAATTGAAAAATAATCACTGTAAAATGTAGTGGTGGTACTAATGTTTTTCAGTTTTTGTTTAGATGGTATGCGGTAGTTAAAAGGTTGAGAACCACTGCTCTAAATCATCAGCCATTATGCTTACATATGTAGTAAAATTTTGGGGGGGGGAACACCCTTGAAACAATTATGTGCACACCAGCAACTGACAGCAAAAGTAACATTAACTTGCCACTATGCAGCATGCAGAACAATTGAAACTGTTGAATGAAAAGTATATGTGAACCTCTTGAGAAATTGCCTTCATCTAAAATAAACAGTCAAAGATTTCGTATAGCTGCTGCCAATGCATAAAAACAAATTCACATACTCGTAAGAGCTATCATACATTTGCAAAATAGTGAGGCATTGATGTGAGAAAAATAGATGCAAGTCTCAATCTGAATGCATTGAAAATTATGACACTTGTGTTAATTGTAACAAATTTTTTACAACTAAATAAACCAGCTAGAGTGAATAATATAAATTATTCATACAAAAACATAACTTATCACATAAACCAGCCATTATTAAAACATATTCAGTTATTTTTAATAATAAATGAATATTGCATTGACTGTTAACATATGATTGCAAAAATTTTTTATTTTAAATATTGGACCGTGGCTCTAAAAATTAAAAAAGGTATCATTTCCAAAACAATATAGTCATGCAGTATCAGAAACTTATACATTTTAGCTTCCAACTCCAGAATAAAAATAATGAATGTTGTCATGTAAAAAGAGTATTCCAAAAACTGCAAGACTTAGTATTTGTTATTCTAAAAGCTACAGAACTTCTCAACTTTCTTATGTCATTCTTAATTACTTATAATCTTTCAAAAGTTCCATTCAACATATACAACACATAGACATTCACATTATTATATTCAGCATTTTACATTTATCATAAAACTACATGAATTCTTGTCACTAAGACTTCCACAGTCACTGAAATTTATCAGCAATATCTTACAAATATAATGAGTAACTATCAGTATACAGCATACTAAGTACTGTTGATATACAGTCTATTGTTGTCAAAAAATATTTTCTTAAGGCAATTATATTTCTACTTCTTTAAAATAAAATAAAATAAAAAATAAAATTTTAATTACTTTTTTCATAGTATCATGATTTATATAATAAAACTTAAAATATATGAATAGAATCAAGAATGCTGCCATAAAAACTCACCAACAATTATTTGTGAAATTTTTAAATCACAAAATTTCTTCTTATCTTTATTTCCAAGCCAGCTGTATTGCTCTGCAAGGGCATCAGAGAAGACATATCTCAAAATTCTTCGTGCATGATCAGCAAAACTACTTCCTCCATAGCTTTTTAACTTGGCAAACTAGATTAAAAAATAAATTTTAGAAAAATACTAAATGTGATATCCAGAATTTAAAAACTGAACTGAAATTAACCCGTGGGAAAGCACATGGGGTGTATCATACCCCAACCCTACATAAAAGTGGAATATTCCTAACTTGTGAAACTGAAATTCTGTGCTGCTTTCAGTAGCTGAGTTTCTAGTTGAGGTTGACTTTCAGAACCGCTTTTTCTTCGCCTGTGTGTTTCAGAAAAAGATTTATCGGTATTTTGTTGGAACTGGTGTATGACACACCCCACGCGCCTGTCCATGTAAGTGTTTTTCTGACTGAATATTTAGTTCAGAAATTTATTTCTAGAGTGTTTCAGAAATTTATTTCTAGAGTGTAACAGTAAATATTTCTACTCGCAAGTGATTTTAAAGTACGTGACATTAAATTCTTAAAAATTTCTAACTGCATTATGGTAAAAAGAATGAGTCCCTATGAACTGGAGATGCAATGCATGTGAGATTTATTAGAAATATTTGAAAGCGACGAAGATTGCATTTCGGAAACTGAAGATGAAACTAAGAATATTTTCTACAATGGTTTTGGTTTCGAAAAACATTAATTCCTGATGTTTCTAAAAAAGGAAAAACTGTTCTTATGCTTTCAACATTATATAATGATCATATTATAGATGATACTATTGGAGAAAATAAAACGTCAGGAATTATATGCTTTAATAATATGACTAAAGGAGCAGTGGATATGGGGGATGAAATGTCAGCCAATTATTCAATTGCCAGAATAACAAGGAGGTGGCCAATGGTAATTTTATTTCCTGCACTGAATGTTGCTGTAATAAATGCTTGAATTATATTACATTCAACTGCTAATCCACCAACCAGAAACAGAAGTCTGTTTTTGAAGGACATACATCGCATTACAATTAATGAAAAAAAGTATTGAACAAAGATCAGAGATTTAATACTTTTCCAAGAAATTGACGTTACTGCATGCAAAACAAAAGCAGAAGTTTCGACGAAGAAGTAAAACGAATGTGTGAAATTCAAAACAACTAAGTATGAAAGATATGATAAATTTTTTGCCCTCGCGCCAAGGACAGAAGAACGTGAATGCAATGTTTAAAATGTGAAAACATTCTGTGCCAAGAACACATGAATGTATTGCATTCAAAGTGTGAAGAAATAAAATAAGCATGGTGTATTAGAGATGCAATGAAATTTAGAGGCATGATGTTTATTTTTTATTATTTTCATTTATCTTAATTTTAACTCTAAGATTATTTCGGAAATTGATTTTTTGAAACCCAATAATGTTTCACTTATACACGAGAACAAAAAAAAAACAAAAAAAAAAAAAAAAAAAAAAAAAGATTTAAAACTAAATAATACTATTTTTATTGTATTTTAAATATTGGGGTTCCATGCAACTATGAAAATCTGTGATGCAAATTAACACTTTTAGAATTGTAGATGCCATGCAAATTTCTTACTTTAAGTCAAATAAATTTAACATAAACACATAATTTTTAAAAATGTAAATTTACAGGTAAAAATTTAGGCATATTAAGAAAAGTGACAAATGTGTACCTCAAATATTTGAAACTTCACTGTATTCTTATTGCTGCATTTATTTACCAGACTTCATGATGACATTCTGGTAGTTTGCTTTTCAAGTACTTATTTGTTAAATTTTAGAGATTAAAGTTCTATAAATAAAGTGAAAATAAAAATTTTTAAGAATTTTAAATCCCCATCTCTGTTATCATGTATACCCTCAAAAACTAGATATAAATCAGGAATTTTAGATCTGTAATAGTAATTTTCAGAATTAAAAATTGTAAAGTAATTACTACTTCTTGTACTGCAATCTTATGTCCCCCCTCTTTTTTACATTCAACAACCAAAACAATGTGTAATTTTTTAAAATTATAAATAACTGTTTTTAATAATGAATTTTTTATGGATTAATATAATTATTTGATGTTTTAATACATTATATGTTGCCCTAATTTATGACTGTGCTGTAACTTCTAAATGAATGCTTAAACAGATTTTTTTTCTTCCTCTTTAAGTAGGGAAGCGGAATGTCACAAAATTAAATTAGGCATTTTCTATATACAGTATCCATCACTTATTAATCTCACTGGTTAATAAAATCAGTCACTTATTTTGTTCAAATTTCAAGGAACCAAAACATGATACATACTAATCAATAGAAAAACTGTGCTTTACTAAAATTGTGTCTGCCACTTATAAAACTCAGAATATCCTACTTGTGCTTCTCAAAGCTATTCATAGTTTACCCATTGAACTTATTTATCATTCAAGCATTCCTTCGCCCTCCCCAAAAGGGGGAGATAAGTGACATCCCTCACACCTTACCAATGAGATACTGATTTTTAGAGTTCTTTGTCTGCACAGGAGCTCAAAATGGACAAAACTCTTTAGGCTGAAAAAGAAGTGAAGAAAACATTGGACATACCTGTAATTCATGAAATGGCAGATTGACTTAACAAAGTGCAAACTTTCAAGTGATTAATGAAAAGCTTAAAGTCTGAAAAAACTTTTAAATATTGTTAAAAACTTTTGATGTTCATGTTAAGTGCAACCAGGCTCTATTTCTAGAGCTTTTTTTCATTATAAAAGCTGTAGAATTCACTGCAATGCTAGGAGACAATTTTGTATAAACTGACGGATGACTCACAAATTGGAAAGAGATATATAATATTATTAATTGGAAATTGCATGATGAGAAGAAAGAATCAGATCATCATACAGCTAATAATTGGGTAAAATAGATTTTATCAGGTAATTGATAAACGAATACAAGGCACTTGAAATTAATAATACAGACAAAACTGGATTGTGTTATGGAACATTATTAGAACACATATTACACATTTAAAGGTGAAACAGCAGCTGATTTAAGGAACTGAAGCAATGAGCTATTGTGCAATATATACTACACAATTAAGAAGGTAGCACTGGTTACTGGCAAAGTAGAAAACCTCAGTTTGAAAGGAGTTGAGAATTTGCCTCCAACGTACCACAGCAATGAAAACTCATGGATTATAAGGTAATATCTTAACTGATTTTATTTTAAAATGAGATAGTGAGCCGAATAATGAAAAAATAGCTTTACTAATCATATAAATGCATGGCACACACATTTCTCTTCCTGAAAATACACCTTCTAACATTCAGCCTTTAGAACAGAGTATTATAAAAACATTCAAATACCATTACAGGAATGATTTTCAGAAAATTATAAACAGCATTAAATCTTATGAAAATGCAAGCATTTTAAAGGAGATAAGTAAGCTGATATCTCTGTTATCAATCATGTACATTATAATCAATGCAGGAGGTCAATCTCATATAAAACAACTAAAACTGTTTTAAACAAAATGTGGCTTTTACATAGAAGTAGTCTCAGAGGAATTTCAAGCTACAGCTAATGTTCCAGACATCACTGAAGGAAATTATATAGATTCATTTTTAGAATATGTGCCAAATAATGGCAATATTCAGACAAAACGTTTGACAAAATGAGCAATATTATACAAATGTGTTAAAAAACAGCAGAAACTGGCCCGGAAAACATACAGAAGAAAGTAATCACATGCCAACTTCAGTCGAAGCTAAAAAAGCACTCCAAATTTACAAAATTGAGAATACAATTGCTGATGAACAACATTAAACAAACACAGATAGAAAACAACTCCATTTAAAAATTGCCACTTTAAATTTTTCCTCATTTGATTATAAAAATCTTGGTTTAGAACCGATACTGCTTCTCAATGCCATAAAAAAGTCCTAGTTTCTAAATTTCAAAAGCTCACATTTCAATCAGCTAGTCTCATCCCATCTTGTTAATCTTCCAATTGTAAATACTAATCGCACTTTTATTATCTCTATAATCCTTTTGAAGGATCAGAAGAAAGTATTAAAATATAATTTCAGCTTTTCAAATCTTCTAGACCTTCAGTCCCTCAAATCATCGTCAAATTGTTCCAATAAAAAGCTTTTTCTAATTATCTAAAATTCCATAAACACAGAATGACACAATCTGCCTCTTAATTACTTATTATGTGAATATTAACAACAAATTGTTTGTTTATCTTAAAGGAAAGGGTGGCCTTATATGAAATTCATTTTAATATTAACATTATAATTCCAAAGGTGATAAGGGCAGACATATTGTTGTTATGGACAAACACACATACACTGATGGAGGCATGAAACTAATAAATGAAAGGCGACACTGCTCAATTCCTAAATATCCTCCAACTTCTGACTTCACGAAAGTTAAAACAGCTGTTAAATCTTCTATATACTCCCAGCTCAGTTTAAAAAAACACTTATTTCACCTATTGCTAACTGTGCTAGGTTTTACCCTCTGCCCAAAGTCCACAAAATTGGAATTCCTTTCAATATTTACCTTCCAACTTAATCCTTTAGCCAAATATTTAGTTTCCCTATTTTCTCCTTTACTTTCTCATACTATTCACACCACTAAAGAATTCTTTTGAAGCATTCCTTATGTTTCCATTACGGTTTTTTTTTTTTTTTTGGGGGGGGGGGATGTTAAATCACTATTTACTAATGTTCCTGTTTTGAGGTCATATTATTTGGAAATTATCTTTTCGTCCCAGGATTTGCCCCATAGATGACACTTTTGTGCTTTTCAATGGTAATAAAGAAGGTATATCTCTGATTTTATCTATTATGAATTTGATTGATCCAGCCATCCAGTTTACTTTTGAAATTGAATTTGACACTCTTCTTTGATATTCTTATGATGCACAATGTATCTGACTTCGGCATTATTGTTCACCATAAACCTTTTTCTGTTTGTTTGCTTTTCCATGCTAGCCCACTAGCGGCCGAGGAGTAAAATTGCTGAACTCTGGTAGTTCTGATTTGAGTTGAATTCCAAGAAAAACAGGCTGGCTGATTGGGAAGTTTCGTGGTTTTCCCCATGAGTAATGCGTACGAAGGTTGGCCTTGGCAACAGTGTTGCTAGGTGACTGCAGACAATTCAAATTGAAAGTTTGATATTTTTTTACCATAACTTCTTCAGAATGTTTTGCCATTTTAGCGTGATTTGTTTACAGTAAATAGAAAAATTCACCTCGGGCAAAAAATGACGCGTGAACATTTTCGTGCAATTATTTTTCATAACTTTCAACATTGATTATCAAGACAAGCATGCTTTGATTAACTTAATTTTTCATACAGTGATAAAGCAACATCTTACAGTACCGTAAAAAGCTAGTATAATGAATTCAGTCGTGGTCGACGTTCGCTCCAGGATGAATTTCGTTCCAAAATCAGTTCTTGTGCCAGAAAGTTTTGATGCTGTGTAAACTGATAGCACAAGATTATCATGTGACATACCATGAGATTGAGGCATACAATAAGCATCAATAAGATATTACATGAACATGTGGCCATAAAATGATGTGCTTGTGTTGGATCCTGCATAATCTGACGAATGCTCAAAAGAAGGCTCGTGTCAATTGGTGCAAGGAAATGCTGAAAAAATATGTTCAAGTTGCATGAAAGGTTGTGTATAACATCTACACAGGTGACGAATCATGGATCTCTGTGTATGAGCACGACATAAAACAGCAGTCATCTGTTTGGGTCTTTCAAGACACACCTAATCCAACAAGACTTGTTAACAGAAGAAGCACATTGAAGCAAATGGTTGGCTGTTTCTTTGGCATTACTGATCACATGGCAACAGTGGTGTTAGAGCAATGCAAGACGGTCAATTCCGAATGGTACTTAACCATTTGTTTGCCAGAAGTCATCGGAGAAATACGAAAAAAGTGGAAGAGGTGAAGACTTCTTCATCATGACAATGCGAGCTCTCGCACATTAGCTCAAGCAAAGGAAATTTTGATAGGCCAAAACATTGAATTGATGGGTCATCTGCTGTACAGCCCAGATTTGGCAGCCAATGACATTTTTTAGCTCTGCAAATCAAACATAAATTATGTATGTGGTTAGCGAATTGCAACACCCGAAGTGGCTAATGCATTTGAAATGCATGTTTTGGAGTTACCTCAATCAAAGCAGAGAAAGTGCTTTGAAAATTGGTTCAAACACATGCATAAGTGTACTGATCGTCATAGAGAATATTTTAAAAAAATAATAGCTATTGGAGGAGAGAGAAGGCACAGTGCAGTAAAACTATTGGCAAGCAATTAAGGAGGAAGGTTTTCAGAGCCATATATAATTTTGAGATTGGTGAAGCCAAAATGCAGGTTCTCATCTATCAATAAAATGTATAGTTCAAGTCAATTTTTATATTCCACTTCTGACTTTAATTCTTGGAGGATTTTATAGCTTATCTTGTCAGTGTGATTAGAGATGTATCAGTCGAACTAAAACAGCGTTTCCTTGAACTCCTAAGTTTTTCATCAAGGAACATGAATCTTATGTCCAAAAGGTTGAACTTAACAAGTCTTCAATGCCCAATCATAGTTAGAAATTTAGTCATAATTTTGGCTTTGAGTTTTAAAAAATTATTCAAAAAGCTTCTCCCATTGGTGAATTGGATTTTCTTGAAGCTTTTCACATTCACAAAGATTTATCTTGTAAGTGACTCTTATTCCAATCCAGTCCTTCTCAATGCTTCTCTAAAACAGGGACCTATAAATGTTTGCCCTCAAAATCGATACAGTCTTTACTAAAATCTATACCAAACACAAGAGTGTTGCTTAACTCCTTTTTGTATTACTTTGGCATGTTTCTCTTCTGTCTAGAAAACAACTGTTTGTGAAAATTAAAATTCTGCTAAATACATAGTTGTATAAATTTTTATAAAAATTTCAAAAATGTATAAATAGTTTAATTTTAGCATTAATTCCTTATTTTTTAAGGATTATTTATTGGATTAATTGTTAATTATTATTTTATTATACAAGTTTAAAACTGACATCAGAGTTTTCAATACACAAATCCCCATCTATTTAATTCAGCCACTTAATAAACTCAAATATGCTTGGAAATAATTTAAATAAGCAAATAAACTGTATTGAGATTAATGGCACATAAAAACTAGTATAGTATGATGCTGGCCATCATTTTATCACTTTACGAAATGGCTCAATGTAAAAAATTTTTGCATTTATACAGGACTGTCGTCTATTTAAAAGTACATTTCATAGTTATTGTAACTGATATTTTTCACAACTTTGCCACAATAAAAGCTGATATCAAGAACACAAAGGTTCTAAAAAGTATTGTTAAAATGTATATCTGTAGGGGAAGATGTAAATGTTGAATGAAAATTCAGAAACTAGAAATCCCAGAATGATAATGTCTTTAGATGTTATTAAAATGCAAAATTTAAAAAGGTATTTTTTATTATGGAAAAAGAAATACTCATATTGTCAGAGAAAGAAAAAACGCTCATGTTCTTGGGTGGTGACGGAAATCAAAGTTCAAAATTTCAGGTTACTTATAATAAATACAGAGACAGGGCATTTGGAATTTTGAAAACTTGAATCTTTGCACTATTTTATCATTCAAGTTTTACAAATCCTAACTGGTCATGGCTCGAGATGATCTCTGATGGGATGTCAACCACGTACAGTTTGGATGCCAACTCATCAGAAGATACAGGGCTATGATAGTGAGATGAGTTAAGATGACTGAATATAACTCGAAGACACTTTAATGATGACAGGACACTTTGATTAACAGAAGACCTAAGCATACACATAACTTTGAGCAATCAAGGCAAGACAAAACTGTAACAGCATTGTATGAAAAAGAGTTAAATTGCAGCTGGTGTGTAAGCTAAGATAGGAAGAATATCATCTAAACATATGGGCAGGTGATAAACAAACTGAAAATATACACATCAATACAGAACTAAGTACAAAGTTGAATATTGGTAACAGCAATGAATATAGAGGGGTTGTTGTTGGATACGTATGTTAGTTTGGTTTATTTGAATATGGCAAAACTCTAGACAGCTAACTGCCAAACAGGAGGGATGCCTTCATGGAGAATTTTCTAAGAGGAACTAGCTTGTCTATACATTACAAATGAAGAAAACACCATTCAAACCCCAGACCGAACTACCAGTGTACAGCTACTTTACCACTCAACCGCTGATGAAAACTTATGTTATGGATATGTGTGGAACAGGCTGCATATGGCTTGATATGGCTGAGTAGGCAGTGGTACAATAAATAAAGATTGAACCAATTTTATTTTGTGCAGATCTGTTACTGCTAATGTTAGAAGCCAATGCTGACCAGTTTGTGGAAGCTGCATTTTTTTAAGAATGTGTCCTGATTTCTGTGAGCAATCAAATATGTAGCGGTCCACTATTCCTTCCTAACTGCATACACAGAAATATGAGTTACTATGCTGCAAGTGGTGAAGATATGCTGGGAATGAACTGTATCCAGACAAGTATTGTGTCAGAGAAGCTAAGCAGCTGCTTAACTACATTGCCAACAAATCCTAACTGAAAAAACTGTTAAATATTTTAACTCAAAACTTTTAAAAGGTAAGTTTTATTGAATGAAGTAAAAATGTTTAGTACAATAAAAGAATAGCAAATTTTCACTGTACCTTTTATAGGGAATTAAATAATTTGTGATTTAGTGCCCCTGCCTCCAAAAATGTGTATTTAGATTGGGATGAATCCTAAAAGAATTTTCTTGAATCTGACTCTTAAAAGGTACTTAATTTTTTTTTTTTTAATTTTCCAAATTAAAATAAAATGATGAAAGAAGGAAAAATATATATTTAATATTAACACCTTTTAAATAAACCAAATTTGAAATTCACATTTAATGAAAACAAATTTAAGAAGGTAGATTTAAAAAATACACCTATATTTATTAACAAGATGCAAATGATTTTTAATTAAAGAAATACATAACTAAAAATGCTTGAATTTTGATATTTGTTTTCTCAACACATTTTTTTGGAGGTTGAATATCTGCTTGAATTTCACTTGACTTCAACAGCTTTAACTCTGACTAGTTCAAATGATAGACAAATATCATATTCACAATTTATATAGTGTGGCATGAATAGCTAGCTAAATCCATCCATGATGCATTAATAGTCAGTTATCTACATCCAGAATTACAGAGAAAATTGAGGTTAATTTCCAGAATTTTTTAAAAAGTGCAATGTACCAATTATCAACAGATTTTGCTATATGGCATACTCAAACAATAAGACACTTGGGGCTGCCACAAGGTGATACTGGAGATCAAGACATCATCCAAATTAATTTTTTTTCATAGAATAATCAATTTTTTTAATCTGATTTCATATACAGAATAAAACTTTGTCTCTTAAAATTCATTATAGCAGGGGCCAACTCTACATCCATAACCTGTAACAACTGATTATCTAATCAATAAAGAATAATAAAAACTTACACTGAAATGATTGGTGTTAGTTTGATGGGATCTCCATCAACTTTCATAACCGAAGGAAAAGTAAAAGTAAGTACTTTAAAACATTTAATCCATAAATGCTAATTCATTTTCTTATAGCTTAATTAAAAATTACAACATACCAAGCAATTTCTACATTCTGGATCAAGCAGAGCCTTTTCCAAACGAAATAGATCATTTTCATTCAATAGTGGCAAGATTATGTCAAATTTTATTTCTTCCTGCTGTTCCTCAGCAGCAGCTATAAAGAATATGCATGATTTTTAATAATTTTTAAGGCTTAAAACTTTTTATAAAATAATCTGTTAAAAATTTTTAAGAATTCAAATAACTTTACTATTTTACAAATTGCAACATGGATGTTCTACTCTCAGAAATGAGAAAACTCATAAGAAAATTCATGCAGTAACAAATCGTCAAATTTTATATTCATTTTATTGCTTTTCAAATTACTTAATTAGTATCTACAATGAAAAATTTGTTTCCGAGTTGTTAATTTTTAACAACAAATTTTTTTCAGCATACTGTTACAACAACTTTAATTTTAATTTTGCTGATTTGTAAATCTAACTATTAACAGAAAATCTCTTGAGTTTTCCTCCTCAAATGAGCAGAATTTAATACATAACAACAGCTTTTATAAAAAATGTTAATAATATGCTCTGCAGAAATGAAGAAATAAACATTTGAAATTCCTTAAATAAAATGAGGAATCGCGAATGATTTTAATTATACACAAATTTACTTCAGTTAAAGAGAAAAGTTAACATTAATTTTAATTAACTTCACTGGTATGAAAGTTTGGATTATCAAAAATTTGGGAAATCAAAAGTTTTGTTGTATGTTATATAAACAAAATAAAGAATGATAAAAAAATTACATTATCATGCTCAAATTACAAAATAAAGACAATTAGGCCTGAACTGAACATGCATGTCTGAAATTATTATAATTCCTCAGAATTCAAATGGCAAATATGAGTCAGAAACATGGCTTTCTTAATAAGTTAGTAATACCTATCAGACACATAACAAAGAATGAAAACTTTCTGAAAGAGGACTACATTCTCCATTTTAACGACCAATAGTTTAATGATCTGGAAAAATTATAAAATATGAAAATAATTTCTGAATAACAAATTTGTAATGATCACTGACAAAATTTTATTATTTATATTAACAATGAAATACAGAAGGGCAGTCTACAATAAAATACTTTTTAAACTTCACTCTTTTTTAACCCTTTCCTGATTTGCCCGAGTTAACATGGGTGAGAAATTCATTTTGTTGAATTAACAAAAAGTTATTAACAATTATTAAAAACCGCAACAATTCTGAAATAAACCTAATTTCCTTTGGCCACGTCGTAACTTCCGACATTGAAAATCTCAAGAACCACAACGCTTTCACGCTGTGCTGCAACATCATAACAAAGGTACTCCAAACTGACTTTAATAATTCATTTTATAATACATGCTTCAGGTTACTGAACTATTTGTAATTCAATTCTGATGCAAAAATGCATTAGCATTTCATTAGATATTCTGAATTTGATGTTCTTTGGTTAATTTCATTTTGTAATTTTCTTACACTTTTATACTGAGAAAAACAGTGGCGTAGCTAGGGTGGGGCAAGAGGGGACATCTGTACCCGGGCGCAGCATCCAGAGGGCGCCAAATTAATGCTACGAAATTTTTTAATGAATGTTTTGCATTCTTGGCACATAGAAAGGGGCGCAAATTCTTCAGTTGTCCCTAGGCGCTGGAATCCTAGCTACGCCACTGGAGAAAAATGTCACGTAGTGAAGGAAAGCTTTCATTTATCAAAGCACTTTCAAACATGATAAAAACAAAATTAAATTAATGTGCATAGTATTTAGTAGTTAAACTTATAAATGTACCATATACTGAAACTTTACTGAAGTAAACAAATATAGATACAAATATTAATTGATTACATATTAATTGAATTTTCATATAAAAGTCTACGATGGATTGGGAGAATTCAGATCAAATGAAATTTAAAAAGAAAAATTTAGTAAGATCAATAAAAATGTAATAAGAAAAAATAGAGTTCAGATGAAATAAAATTTACTAAGAAAAATTATTCTGAAAATCCACAGAGGTGAGAAATGGAATTTGCCTAATCTAAATAATTCAATCAATTTCATTTATTGCTGAGAAACATTTTCCTTTGTAAAGGCTAAAAATTAAGGTACTGTTCTGTTACTGGGACAGAAGTCATTGCGATATGTTTTGCTAAACTCACCAAGAGACTGGTTCATATGAACCTTTTTTAAAGATTTTTTTATCAACTTGTCTGAATTCCCTTTATCTCTTGAGGAGTATAAGAATTTCAGCAAATAAAACTGGCCGAAAATTTTAATAAAAATGTAACTGATGTTTTTGATTCAATTTAGAAGTAACATGAGCTTTACTGATATTTAAATACTTTTTGGCAGATCTCATCCTAGAAGATAGAAGAGGGTCTAAAGATAAATTGATTTTATTTAATTTACAATCAATGAAAAATCATTGAAAGCAATCACTGAATGAATGAAAATCACAAAAAACTATTATGCATACAATTGTTCTCTTATTTATCTCCTGATAAATCAGACAAAATTGCCTGCATAATAGAAGCACTTTGAAAGAGTTAACAGTTCTTAAGGGTTTTATGCACTCCACAAAAAAAATGTCAAAATAAAATCTTATTATTCATAAGTATGAAAAGGAAGTAAACGATAAAAGCGGTTTTACCTATTTTCTAGAAGGGCATTAAATCTAAAATATTAATCTATTCTTATTTGTTATGATTAAAAAACATTAAATATGGTAAGCTTAAAGAGCGTGCAAAATCGCTGACGTTTTAATCATAGCAAAAGTCAGTACTAAAAAAAATTAGCATTAAAATTATGAGACAGATTGAGAAAGAGATGGTCTCTATTTAATTTTCAAGTATATTGGCACGAGACGAAACCTGCGGTTTTTGCCAAAATGTAGCCAAACTGATAAGAAGAGGGAAATAATGCGTAGCCAGCGGCTACTCTGAGCAGCGACAATGGACCACCCAAAGATCTACAGATAGGCGATTCTCTAAAATGGGGAGGGCATAGATGGTACGACAGTTGTACCAATGCCGGCGTCTGAGAAAGTCATTCTCCTGGCACAACTGCTGTACCAGCCGGCTTTGAGAGGTTAACTAGAACAGTTACATAAGGGAATTCGGTGCCATGCATTAATGTCTAGACCGTCAGTTAAAATATGCGGCACTGCTAATATTGTCGAAGTTGACAAAAGTCTGTTTTCATGTCATGATGTTGGTTGTATCCTTCTGCCTCAGTGGGTGTACAGCAGGATTTCCCAAGAAACAAAAGAATGTTTTTTTAGGTCCGTGCCAAACTGCTTTGCCAAAACTTTGCTTAAAGTTATTGGAAAAAATATTATTGATGGCATTATAATATATTGGGACTGCTGGAAAAGGTATAAAGTGAAGAATTAACAGAGGCCGGATTTGAACATTCCTGTGTTTACCATAAATATCATATTATTGATATCGATAATGGATGCCATATGCAAATTATTGAAAGGTTACAGTGCAGTACGAAATAAACAACAATGTGGCACTCAACATAACCAATTAGATTCTTATTTAATTGAGTTTATGAGGAACATAAGCATCTTAAAATGCAAATATTTTCAGACATTTTAAATGATATTCACAGTTTCATGACTCTGTGTTAATTAGTTAAAGAATTTTTTTGCCTGATTTCTTTGGGAAATTATTTAATTTACAATAAAATTTTCTAATTTTATGAATATCTGTTAGGTTATTTTTTTCAAATGGAATTTTCTTCAACTAACCGTAAATATTTTGGTGATTATTTCTATGTTTCATCAGCTTTTAGCATCCCGACAATAGAATAATAATAATAGAATAATACCAAAATTAAAACTGGAAGACCAGGAGATGTTATGAAAAACTGGAAGTTTGGTAAAACCAGAAGAGTTGGCAGCCAATGTGATTAGATTTGTTATCTAACAATTACTTACTTTAGGAGAGATACTTTTATAGAGGATTTTTTCAGATAAATTAGCTCATATTCATATTAAATAAGAGGAAAGCATGAATGCCTGACACAGCAACAGATAAACTATCAGCATTCAGCTGCTTATTCAGTTAGGCACAAGTAGGTCCCATAGTTATATAAGAAAATGTTCAAGTTCATGAACATACTAGGCATTGGGCAATCATCTTATATAAATAGTGCACTTGTTTACAATACATATGTATAGGACGTTAAGAAATTATTGGGCACATTTCAAAATTATGAAAAAAAATATGAGCAATGGTTATACTATCATGTGAGGGTTAACATAATGAAGTTCTCTGCCTATCTAGGGAAGGTTAAAGGATTTCCTTAAATAAACAGTTTTAATTTTATTTCATATTATTAAGGAAATTCCATGCTTTAAATGTTTCTCTTTCAATCCTTTATTTTCTATGCTATTTTAGTTGGCTCATGATCCAAGAACTCAACTATTTAAGAGCAACTGCAAACGAAAGAGGCATTTCACCTAGTATTATTGATGAAGCAGTTGAAAAATTTTCGTCACGACATAATAAAACTTATTCTCTCGTTTTTATAGATCATAAGAATTCTACGCACTTTTCTATTATTGAGACTGGATTCAGAAATGCATGTATGTATATGTGTGTGTGTACCCACATGCATATATACATTCATTTCTGAGTCTGGTCCCAATAACAAGAAACATACTAAATTCTGTAGTCATTCCTTTCTTTCCTTTGATTAGCTATAAAATTACATATATTTTATAGAAGTTGATTTGTTATTTTTTCTCTTTTTAATAGATATTTGCAGTTCCATATCTACAGATGCCATTTTGGACAACTCCTGAGATATATAAATATTTGCAGTTCCATATCTACAGATGCCATTTTGGACAACTCCTGAGATATATACAGTATTCTTTGCCAACTGATTTAATATATTTGTATATTGGTTAAAATAAGAGCCTGAAATTTTTTTTTACTAAGGAGTATGAGACATATGTTAAGAAAAAGAAATACATAAATCATCTACCACCCAAAATTGCTGGTCAAACAATCACATCTTCTATTTTCCTCCAGCCACGGTTATGGAGAAAACATCTTCCATTGGTGTATTAGATTTTGGTATTTCACATTTATAAAAATCTTGCAGTTCTAATTAATGATCCCAAGTCTAATTCCTCTTTACCTTCAGCTTCTAAGGAATTTATTTCATAGTTGTTTCCAATTTTTGTCAACAGATGGCACCCTCAGCCTTATTGTCTTGATGCCTGATAATAAGATGCAAACAATTAAGAAATTGGCTCTTCAACAAATTTCTTAATGGTTAATTCTATATCAACAGTAACTCTGAAACATTTTTGGAAAATAGCTTTGATATTAGCAATAATATTTTGAGCCACTGGCTTAAGACTGATGCAGTTTTAGGTTATGGTAAACTGGTGGTGAATTTTGGTGACTGTACTAGATTCACTGGTGCATTTTCCATTATAAGGAGAACCTTCTCATGTAAACCCTTTTCTTGAAGATATTCTTTTACAATGGCAGCAAAAACATTTGCTAACCATTCAGAGAACTCTCTTTAGTTACCCAAGCTCAGACATTAGCCCTCCAAATGACACACATATTTGACAATTAAAATTATATTTTTTAAAGGCTAGAGGGTTTTCAGTGATAAATGAACAGAGGTGTCAAGGCACAGTTGGCATTACCACAAAAATGTAAAGTAAATTTTTTGTCCATTGATTTGTATCCACATAAAGCCATTTCCTCCTTAGTAATGAATACTCTTTGAGACTTTTTTCCCCCAGAAGAAACCAAATCAGAGATGAAACCCAGTCCTGATTTGTAATATTCTAACTGTTTAAGTCTAGAGGTCGAAGTGAGATATGAAAAAATTCATATCTCAAGAATATCAAATTCATATCTAAATGTTAACATAGGACATAAAATTTTTAATCTAAAAACGTTTGCCTGTTCAGCGGTTCATAAGTCAAGGTGCCACTGTACAAAGTACGACTTCTAAAATCCTCAAATACAGTAAAATAATATTTTGAGGGATTAGTTACCATTGCAGCAACCTAGATTTTAAGAACAACCCAAAGTTTGCAATAGATAGTTGGAGCAACAACTAATATTTTTAACTTATAGCACAACTTAAACATTTTTTAACTTAACAACACAATTTTTAACTTACAGCACAATAGTGAGTATATATAAGATATGTGTATGAATGAAGTACACATGAAAAATTCTTGTCATCCTTTGGGAGCACACACAAGATAGAAAGGTATCTTAATGTTGATGACAAATGAGGGTTTACTATGGAGTTAGTTCCATCAATGTTTGTACAAACAGTGCTGCAGCAATGTAAAACAAGAATACTGGATTTGTATCATAAGTTAAAGCTGATGATTAATTAACATATCATTTTTACTAACTGTTTGATATATCAGAAAGCACTAATAGACAAAAAAAAGGGGGGGGGGAGAAGATTTGCTGTTTTTACACTATACAATATCTTGAATTTCATAAAAGGTCAAGTATTTAACAATTATTTTCAAAACTTTGCAAGAATATGAATTCTGATTAGCAAACCTTATTGCTTCATGAAAAAGTTTAGCGACTCTAAAAAAGATGAAGTATTTACAGACTATCACAGCTGAAAAATCAAGTTATTGACTATAGATCTGATTTTATAGATTTTTCATAATGAATTATGGCTTTCAAAACTGTAATATTTGTCACATATTAAAAAAAATAAATGATTTAAACATCATTCATTTTTTACAAGCAAGTCTAGAGGTCGAAGTGAGATATGAAAAAATTCATATCTCAAGAATATCAAATTCATATCTAAATGTTAACATAGGACATAAAATTTTTAATCTAAAAACGTTTGCCTGTTCAGCGGTTCATAAGTCAAGGTGCACTGTACAACAATTGAAACATTTATATAGTCAAAAGTCGTTAATCCGGACTAGTCGGGACTTCGGCGATTCCGGATTATCGCTTTTTCCGGATTATAGATCATCAGTTTAAATCTCGTAAGATGGCATGCAGAAATTCTAAAATTAAAATATGAAACTGTAATTATGAAATAAAAACAATTATGATCTAAGGGTATCAAAAAATTTACAAAAAAAAAAAAAAAAGCTTAATATTCATTTGTTTACTTTATTAAACATTTCTTTCAATGTAAGTTGCTTAAGTTGCTTCATTTTATGTGATAATACTAATAAGTAAATAATAAGTAAAATTATTAATGTTAGTAAGTCCCTCAAAATACATAATACAGTCAAAAGTTGTTAATCCGGACTCGTCGGGACTTCAGCAATTCCGGATTATCGATTTTTCTGGATTATAGATCATCAGTTTAAATCTGGTAAGATGGCATGCAGAAATTATAAAATTGAAAATATGAAACCATAATTTATGAAATAAAGAACAATTGCATGCAGAAATTCTAAAATTAAAAATATGAAACCGTAATTTATGAAATAAAGAACAATTATGATCTAAAGGGTATCAAAATTTACAAAAAAAAAGCTTAATATTTATTTGTTTACTTTATTAAACATTTCTTTCAATGTAAGTTGTTTAAGTTGCTTCGTTTTATGTGATAATACTAATAAGTAAATAATAAGTAAAATAAATATTAATGTTAGTAAGTCCCTCAAAATACATAATACAGTCAAAAGTAGTTAATCCGGACTCGTCGGGACTTCGGCAATTCCAGATTATCAATTTTTCCGGATTATAGATCATCAGTTTAAATCTGGTAAGATGGCATGCAGAAATTATAAAATTGAAAATATGAAACCATAATTTATGAAATAAAGAACAACTGCATGCAGAAATTCTAAAATTAAAAATGTGAAACCGTAATTTATGAAATAAAGAACAATTATGATCTAAAGGGTATCAAAATTTACAAAAAAAAAGCTTAATATTTATTTGTTTACTTTTATTTTAAACATTTCTTTCAATGTAAGTTTTTTAAGTTGCTTCGTTTTATGTGATAATACTTTCTCTTTAATTCTATATAAACAGACATAATTTCTTGTTCAGTTACAAGTTCCGCTGTTCAAGTCCCGGAACTGCTGTGCCGAGAATACCGACTAACTTGTCAATCGAAATTTTTTCGTTTTCACTAACCTCTCTGTCACCTTCTTCATGTCTTTTTATCCATTTTTTCAACAATTCCACTTTTTGTTTGATGGACATCGAAACATACTTTCGTTTTTGTAGATCCTTTGGGAGCTCTAGCATCGGAAATTCTATTTGACATAATCGAAAGTTAAAGTTTACTTTTATAAAATTGCTCTTACAGTCTGCAAAAAATAATAAGCTGGATCCAATTAAGGAACAACACAATCATCAACATTAACTGAAGTAGATAATTAGATAATATTAGCTTATACCTTCTGATAATACATAAAACGTGCACGCGGAAACATATTCTGCTCTTGCACACACGCATATGCGCAGTCGTAAAGGTCTTATGCGCACACGTAAACGCCTATGCGCATGAGTCAACGCGGCGCATGTGCAGAAAGTTTTTAGCTTTGAGGTCCGGATTATAGATCATTCCGGATTATGGGTGTCCGAATTAACGACTTTTGACTGTATTAAAATATAAAATTGAAAGTTCTTTTATAAAGTGAGGATATGTAAAAATAGAGTTCAAAATGGATCTTTAGAAATATTTACAGCAACAGATACTTTTATAAAATAACTTTTCTAAAGATTTAACTCTTAAAGATATAATAGTAATTTGAAATGTGCAGATATAAAAATTTTTAAAATACTTTCCTTCCATTTTAATGCTGAAAATGAATATTGTGTTCATAAATTATACTCAATTGAAATGATTAATGCCAATTACTTACTATTAAATGCTCTAGAAGAGTTTACTGCATTATCAAATGGCCAAAATTAAAAAAAAAAAAAAAAAAAATTAAATTAACACAGACTCAAGATGAGGACAGTATTTTTCAACACTTTCTGAAATGCCCTTATACATACTTCTAATTTTTTGTACTATGCATTCATGCAAGACAACAGTTTCAATGTCAACATTTATAAAATGAGAGGAGGGGAATCAGCCCGTTCTATAAAACATTGAAGAAACTCTATGTCCTACATTATCAAATATTCATCCAAGATTTAAGGCTCATACCCAGTTGATTAGTTTATAATCTGTGAAAATTTGAAAACTTAAAAAATTTCACATAGACTTGATTTAAAAGATTTTTCCACTCTGATGGTGCTTAAAGTCTCGATTTTTTTCCAATGGTGCTTAAAAGCAGAATTTTGAGATCTTCCATTTGTTTGTTAAATGAAGATAATGTGTGAAAAAGTCATTTCGATTTAAATTTTTTAAACTGTATTTTGAAAAAAGTCACTTCAACACATTGAATTGTTATCCATAAGTAGCGTAAAATTTGAGCTATACAAAACTTTTTGACCATAGCGACAAATACCACAAGAGAGCTAAATAAAAGCTTATAACAATGACAGAAGTTAGAAACTTACTGCTGCTTTTATTATTTCTTTCCAGGAGAGAATCCAAAATATCTGCATGATTTTTTTGAGTAGCACGAAGAACAGCTATATCTTTTAACAGTTTCTTTAAAAATCCTTTCTTTAGTAAGCCTTAGAAAAAAAAAAAAAAAAGAAACAATGTTACTGTTGTAATTATTTAATTTATTCTGCCTAGAAAAATCCAATTTTATTTAAATAAACAGTTTTTTACACAATAAAAATAATACAAGTATGTTTTGACGTGTTCTTTTTCGTTTAGCTATAAATAATTACCTAATTTTAACATATATAACAGATAAGGTTCCAATATATTTTGTCAGATAACACTAAACAATTCATTTGCTAAATTGATCGTTAATAAAGCTGTAAGTGTAAAAAGGAAAGCTCTTTCTGTGTTGTAGAATACTTTCAATAAATACAAATAAAATTACCCTGTTTTTTCCCCAAATCTTAATCAATGTTAAATATTGTAATATAAAGTGTGAGGAACTGATAATTATAGATTCATAGAACAGCACGATAATATGCACATTTTAAGTACACAAATTAATGGCCCTTTTGTTTGGTTGTGAGCTTTCACTACAGATCATTAACATACAAGAATCATCTCTTTCTGCTTTGAAACATCTAATTTTTTCATCTTACTCAGGATAACAAAGGATATTTTTAGTCAACTACTCCATGCTAAAACTCATTTAAAAAAACGTAGAGAGGAAAACACAAAACAAGTAAATATAAAACCTTACAATTTATGTATACTTTTTCCAATATTAATTACTTTTGAAAAATTTACAGCATTGTGAAAAATGCTGAGATATAATTTTATGCCATCATATTTTAAGAAACTCCTTCTTGAACGAGACTTAACTTCGAAAGGGGGAAGGATTTTAAATAAAATGTGTAAGCAGCATATTTTATATGAAATTCATAAAACTTTTAAAAGCTTTCTATTTCATAGAAGAAATAAATTATTATTATTATCATTTATCCATATTTTTAGCAGCATAAGAATATATGATGCATTGATTTCCCTATAATACATTCATACAAAAACATCATTAAACACAACTAACATCTAGCCATAACTGCATTTCTTTGCCAAAATGTTTTTGAAAATCAACTATATTATCATTTTTTTTCTTTTAAATTAAACTTTCACAGGTTTTGTGGTCACAGAAAGGAAGGTATTTTTGAAAACTAAAACATAATAACATATCTTTATATATATATATATATTATGTTTCCATTAACTTCTTGTTATTTTCTTTTCACCAATAGGTCATGTATTTTTATCTCATCTTAACCTCTATTTCTTTTCACTTGAAAGTTTAATTTGTTCAAGTTGCTGTGTTTTATAATTCCAGATTTAGTAGGTCATTAGATGGCATGTAAGGTAGCAGAAGTGGGCACAGCCCAACCCACCTAACCAAACAATTTGGTTTTATAGATTTAGTAGGTCAGTAAAAATTCAGAATAACAGCAAAATCATTATTATATATGTTTTCATACATTCTTCATATTTTATTTCTTGTTTTAATAGTGCTGGCCATTTCTTCCTCCCTCAAACCATGACAATAATGATGTTAAAAAAAAGCCAAATACTCTAATTTGCTCTGTGCGTTGATGACAACACGCATTACATGCAAAAGAAAGGGAGGGTCAACTGAAGTGTCTATTTTAAAGTAACAGACTGTAATAAAAAAGTGTTAGCATTATCTGACAATTAATTATATTAGCATACAGTATTATATTAATGAATATCAGTACTTTTTTTAAAGAGAATTAGTAAAATAATCTGTGTAAGGCATTCAGCAGAATTAGCTTAAATCTATGTTCACTATAGATCTACCATGCTTATGATCACAAACTTATCACTAATAATTAGTATTCTAGCTTATAACCTTAAGTACTATATATATTAATGTATAAATATGTATATTAGATGGAGTAAATAATAATGGCATTTCAAAGTTTAATAAAAGTCATATTACCCAGACAGACTTAACAAGTAAAAATATAATCACATAATTAATGAAAAACAGCACACAAAAATGGTTTGACATAACAGGCAAAAAATTATTTTATTTCAAAATTTTTCAGTCTCCTTATTTTCTAAAATTTTCAATTTGGTGCCATTCAATACCTCATATGCTTTGAATCTGAAAGAGAAAATATAAAATTTATCTCATAGTTGGAATTTTTTTTTAAATTTAGACATTTTATTCAAAGTATTTTATATGAAAACTGCAAATAATATTTCACATATATGTGCTTATAAATACATGAAAGAAATAAAAAAAATAATATATAAAAATACAAGAATCCCCAATGAATCCTCTAAAGTGACATTTAAATATTTTTTGATAAATATTATTTAAAGTACTAATTTGAACCTTTTTTTAAAAAAAATATTTAATATTTTTTCTCATAACAAATCACAGATTTAAGTTCATATAGGAAATTTGAAAAATTTTTCCCCCAGGCTTGGATACAGATCCATAATTTACATTTTCAACTCTTCAGCAGTATGAAATATTTTATGCAACTACTCCGAGTTTATTTCAGTTCTGGAAGGGCTTCTTTTACCAATACATTTGTTATTATCAATTTAATATGTTCACTGTTGATCAACAAGAGAGCTATTGGTGAATTCTTTACTATATTAATTCAATAATTCATCCACATTAGTCAAGTGTTTATTTTATTGAAAACTAATTCATGTTCAATAGCTGCAGTTTCGTTAACAGTTGTGACTAGTTATTGGCTATACATATTATATTTATTTAACCTAATGTAATTATAAAAAGTTATTTGATAAAGATATACAACATGATATCTTTTAGATTTAGCATGCAAATACTAGTAAAATTTATGGTGTTCACATGGTATAGTGGTTAGAGGAGCCGACTGTGATACTAAAGGGCTTGGGTTCGAATTCCGGAGAAGGCCTGGCTGTAACTGTCCCTCCCTTCCAAGGAGGCAAAGGTGGCCCACCTATTAGGTACCTACATAACAAAGCGAAGACCACTTTTAAAATTAGTAATGGCCAAGCCGAAATCGGCTGAGGGCCCACAACTTGATGAGGGGGGGGGGCTATAAATATACTGCCTGGATCTTGCTAAGTGAAATCTGCTCATATTAAGTGAAAATAGTCTACAATTAAAAAATATAATTTAATTCAAAAACATGCTAGTTGAAACTTTATGAAATGAAGGAATTTCACCCTCAAAATTCTGGAGTAAAGTGCTATAATGAATTGAAATAAAACAATTTCATATAAAATATATACCCTGAAATTTATCTAATTTGAACTAGTCTACCTTCTAATGCAAATTATTTGCAAAATTCTCTTTGTAAATGTAATACAAGTATTCTTTTCAAATTAGTTTATGCATTCCTTAAATGAATAAATTATTCATCAATTAATAATTTAGTTAAACTATAATAAATAAAAAAAAAATTATATATTTTTAAAAATTTAAATGAAATGAATTATATAAATTTATAAAAGCTTAGAGTTTATTGAATATAATTAGCTGCTTTAACATGTGCTGTTCAACAATATTAAGGGATAATGCAATCAGGTTTCATATACCTTTAAATATAAATTAAGGCTTTACAAACTTTAAAGGAATATGATGGGGGAAAAAATAAGTACCTATCAGCAAACGACTAATCTTTAAGACTTAATCTTTAATTTAAAAACCAAATAAAATATCTATGCAATCAACTTCACCCTTGTATTACCAGTCTAATAATAAAGCAGAAATATGTAAAGTGCATTATTATTATTAAATACAGTTTCATATATAAAAATGCAAAATGAGTTTCAGAATAAAACCAACTCTTTTGAGTAGTTAACATTAAACTTATTAATATAATTTAGAGAAACATTTATGCTTTATACAGTCACACATATTTAAAAGATTTCCATGCCTACTATTTAAAAAATTATTCACTTAAAAAGCACTATAAAAATCACAATTTAAGTTCATTTTGCAGTTTAAAGTATCATATTAATACACATAAAATTTATTATATTTGTTTGAAAAAGACATTAGAAACATCATACATTAAAAGTTACGAAACATACCCCCTTTTTTTTTCTTTTTAATTTTCAACTACTTTTCCAAATTCATTTCTTAAAGAAATCAATGTTCTGCTAGTCTTTGCTTCATTTGCAAAAGTATTTGCCTTTTTTTGTTAACAAAGTTAAAAAATTTGCTCTTATTTTTGGAGTAAATGAAGAAAATTCAGCATGGCAAACTTAATGGCAATGTTTTCTTAAATATACGAAAATAAACATTGCATAACATGAAAATAAACATTTCAATCAAAAACAAATTATACAATTTTGATTGAAGATACAGATTTTCTTTTATAATTGAAATTATTTAGCATTTTCTATGACCACTGGCATTCTTTTTCATAGAAAATATGGATCCTAAATTTCCCCAAATTTTAGGTAACCTCCTTTTCTTTTTTTTTTTAATAAATACCTCACTGTATTTTTAAATTAGTGTTGTGTTAGATCAGATTTAATTACAGAATTTTTGTTTTAACTAAATACTGCATATATTTAGAAAAGTTAGAAGAAAAACTGTTAATCTCATTCTATTAACAATTTTGATACTATCACCTCCAGAAGCTATAAATCGTTTATAGTGCACTGAGAAATAAAAGAAAATATTTTAAATTTCTTTTTGAACAAAGGAACTTCTTTTCACATGTGACAAGAATGGAATCATTTTTGCAATTTCCCATACTTCTGAATACTGAAAATCATAAAAACATGTAAAGAGAAATGTACCAAAAGAAAGCCTCTTGGAATTACTAGGACAAAACTCAAATAATTTTATTTTTCTGCTTTTTTCCAAAAATTCTCCAAATACTAACATAATTCATAGCATTCATCCTTTAAAACATGCTTATTCTGTGCTAATACCATTAACATGTTTTTCAGTTTGTCACAGGTTCTTTCTAGACTTTTAACCAGCAATCATGGCTCTAAAATGTTATTAGAACTTGCTACGGTACAAGGATTCAGTCCAAGTAAAAACTGCCTCAACAGACAACCATCACTGATAATTTTTTTTTTCAAAACCTGATTGATCATTTCTTCTCCAAAGGAATGGTCTCAGTAGTCTCGTTGCTCTGCAGGGCACATGCAGCACCTATGCAACTTAACATGATCCATGAATACATTTCAGTTATGCATTTGTTGCAGATATGGTGAATCTAGTTTTAGCAACATAAAAATATGGACTGTAGTTATACGCACATGACTGTTACTGAAAGAAAAAAGATGAATACTTTGGGGACTTGTCTTTACCCCAGTATGGCTGTAAGGTTAGGCTTTTCATAATGTTGAAGCCACTTATTCACAAAGGTGGCAGAAACAAAAACACAAAGACTGCAGGGAAGAAGTTGCTTTAGAGCATACTTGGGATTAGTGACACCATAAAACAGCTAATCTTTTAGTATAGTAACCTTGAATGCTAGTATAGGTAAAAGCTAAACCAGACTCTCTGTAGTACCATAGGTGATTGAGATAGCACCTAGCTAACTGTTAAGCTTATGTTTCAATTTGGAATTCTGAGAATATCCTAGAGGTCCATACCTTCCACCAAACTCTTATGAGGATTTTGGCTAGGCATGTAATTTGAGTGTCCCTTGCCACACAGATACTATACACTTACAAACATCCATGCCTTTGGGATTCAACACATGCAGTACAACAGTCAGCATCATTAGCCACTATCCTATCTGGGTGGCAATATGCTTGAATACCAGGCCATAAGACTAGGGTAAGGTAGGAGAACTTCCCCTGCTGGAATAGTCAGTAAAATTTACTTTGTCAGCCCAACAGCTGGTCATGCTTCACTATTCCAAAATTTCCAGCTAAAGTTAAAAAGTAAGTTATTTAGTGGTTCATTAATCATATTGGAATTACTTGAAATAAATGTCAGTTTAAAATTTAATAATTAGCTGTTAATATGCTTGAATTATGAAGTATAACCAATAGAAATTTTTTAAAGGTACCAATATTTAGAGTCAACACTGAAAAAACATAAATTTGAAAATTTTCCTTTGTATTATTATTATTTATGCATGTCCCGATAAATATTCAGTAAATGATGTAATTTTTTTTTTATTTGTTAAAAATGTTTTTACATTTTGTTAAAAAATGTTCTGGCCCTTCAGCTGCTTTCAGATCATGCATTTAGCCCATGAAGCATGCAATTTGAGACCACTGCTCTAGAGGGAACCCACTGTTCCTAATGGCGTTGGAGCTGCGAGCAGTTGAACTCTCTTCACAAATATGTTTCTTCCCAAGCTTAAACTGTCTAATTACAGCATATGCTCTTAAAATAGCTCCTCTCCTTCTTTTATGTGTGCTCTATTTACATCTTATACCCGTATCCTAAAAGAATTTCTGGATTCAGTGACTACATTGCATTAAATCATGAATTTCACAAAGCATACTCTCATCACTGTAGGTTGAAGTATGGCCAAAAGCTCAAAACTGAACTCCAAGAATTTTTTTTTAAATGTTGACAGACAGTATTTTTGTTGATAACATTTGCTTTAAAAAGTTGTGAACAAACTAAAACTTTTGTTCTGAAATACCTGATTGCTTTCATTGTTTACAACACCAATATGCAATGGTTCCATTAAGCCACGCAGTTGGAATTCCACGTTTATTTAAAATTTTAATTTACACTCAGAACAGCAGTCATAAAAAAGACAGAGAAATGTCATTTAAGCAATATTAAGAATCATTTAAATTCTAGCAGAAATTAAGAATTTTTAACGAGTTGTATTTTTTAAAAAGAAATGGATGAACCTTGAATATATGGATATATGACAAATAAAATTTCCTCAGAGAATGATAAATAAGAAATTTTGATTAGTGATATAAGGGAAGGAATTGAGAAAACTATCCGAGAATCCTTATCACTACATATTATTAAAAACACATTCCAACTCCTCTTGTATGGATGTAAGATCTTTTTATTTTTACTCATTTCAGAAATTATATTACAGTTTGCTAATGAAATATAAATTAAGCTAAGTATCTCCAGTGGCCTTTTAAATTTGAAGTACCTATGAATTTTAATTGTCTTTCAAGCTGCAAAATACATAAATTATATTCAAAATACACAACTGAAAATTCAGCAATATGATATTAATAATGACGCTTATGAGGGAATTTAATTCACAAGGAAAACATTTAAAATTGTTCGTGGTACAGTAAAAATAGCTTATCACAGTAAATTACAAAAATATTCATAAACAACTGTTGCAATTTAGCAATTACGTCTTCACAAAGAAATTTACACATATGATTACACATGAGATGATATTAACATCGTTTTAAGCAAAACCGAAGTACTGTTACTGAAATTAAAGATAATTAAGTACACTATGTCAGATAAACACTTTGAATCGTCTTGACAAAGTTAATTCATACTGTTCAACAACATAAAAGCTTGTTGTCATAATGGCATACTTAGAGAAATACAACATGCTTAGGGGAAGGAAAAGAAGAAAAAATCATTCTCCCACTACAAGCTTGAAAATTACAGATACAAAAAGGAATATATAAAATCATTATATTAACATATCTTTACAATAAAAAGTTTAAATCTTCAGTAACTTTTAATAAATCTAATTTCATAGTATTTTAAAAATAAATATCAAGAACACAAGACAGGTTTCTACACTCATTCCATTAAAAGAACAAAAAACGATTTTGTATGATATACACAATTTTTAAGAAATCACATAAATATTGACACAAGAACTCAAACAATAATTTTACAATAGGATATAAGAATTGAAAAAATAGCACTGTAGACGTTCTTCATTTTTATTTTGATTTTTCCATCAGAACTGGATAAAATGCTCAACTTTTACTGAAAAAGAGACAAATTAAAGTTAATATTACTTCAAGAAAGAAAGATAAAATTGATGGTTATAGTTAATCATATATTGTACTGGTTCCAAGCATAAGTAAAATATGCAGCTGCCTAGGATGTGAATTTTCAGAGGAGAGAGGTAAATTTCTCTGACAAGCATTAATTAAATTAGGTAGGTGAGAAGCATTAATTAAATTAGGTAAAAAAAGGTAGATTTTGCTTTGAATTACTAACATATTTAATTTACATGGAGGACCAAATGTACTAATTGCCTTGGATGCTGAAAATGCTACAGCGAAGCCTCACTATATGGGTTTAAAAAAATTAAACCAAAAACAATTATTAAAAATATGAATGAATTCGATGGGAATTAAATCACTAAAAATATACATCTGTGAAGTAAAGTTACATAATGGTAATTTACAATGTAATAAAACCTTTCGTACAAAAATTATTGTCGCTTAAAAAACGTGGGATAGATGAAAGTGTCTACTTTTGATGGATTATGGATTCTTAGCATGATAAATTGAATAGTTAAAATATATTTTTGAAAATAGTATGTCTGTCATGTTGAGCTTAAACATTATATGGATTTTACTGGATTTGTCTTTCGAACATATGTAACAAAAATTACTCGGAAAATTTCTGCTACCTACCTAATATATATATATATATATATATATATATAATATATGCTTGACTAATGCTTTATTGGCTTAAGCCTTTTCTTTCAATTATGCAAATTGCAATTAATTATGAGAGAAAGTGCAGATGTAATTTCAGTGGCTAATTCAGTGTAACTTCAATAATGAAATATGCAAAAATACTGATGAAATCAATGTTTTATTGTGATTGTTGAAGGACATAACAATTCCTGGTTTAAACTGCATTATAGTATCACAATATTGTGGAAATATAGACAAACAAATCTTTAAAAAATAATAATATTAAACATAAATAAATATACAGGACTATATTTATAAATATATGGCTCACATACAGACAAATAACAAAAATGAAAACATTGCAAATATTTTGGAAATTCATTCCCTTTTGTAATATGTAACAATAAATAAAATTTAAAAAAAATGTTTAAACCCCTTTAGTGCACAACAGCTAATATTACAATTTTTGAATATTATTCAAAACATTTTGATATTATTAATCAAAATATTTTGATATCATTAATTAAAACATTATGGAGAAAAACTTACTTTGTCAATACCTCATCAAGTCTTTAATTACTTTCGCTTGATTATAAAGAGGCTAAACCAATATTGTATTTACTCGTATATCTCCCTTTGCCAAGTTTTTAGCATACAATTTAGAAACTTCTGATTTATGGTAATAAAGTAAAATGGATACATAATTAGGAAATTATTTTGTCAAGAATATTATTGAAATTGATAAGTCTTTTGAAATACATAATATAACAACATTTGCATGTCTTTAGGTGTACTTTTTAATTTGTTAAGTTTACTATTTGAGCCATTTCTTTAGAAATAGCATACACTGCATATTTGATCCCTCTTTCGAAGTTGTAAAATTAGTTGGAAAAGGAGAAGAAATACACGAGTAAATATGGTGTACATTTTCTACTCAGGAGGACATAGGAGGGGGTTCATAATATTTGCATATTTTGGAAGAATGTTGTTAACAGTTCCAACACTTATTCGACATACCTAACTGATGTTGAGTCATAAGAGTGCACTGATTTAACTAATAAACTTATGTTTCTCTTCTGGAGCAATATCCATTGGAACAACTGAAGCAAACTATCAGTAAAAGATAAAAATTTTATTCAGAAATAGTAACAAAAAGTGGTTGACACAAGCAAAATATGGCTATTAGATACTTACATGTAGAAACTATTGCAACAATGAAATGGCATAAACTGGAAGAAAAATTCAGAATTAAATAGATATAATTCAAGAAAAATTAAAATAATTTAAAAATAATCTTTTGTTCAGACTACTCTGTACACTAATACACCTTCAATTTTTTCCTCAACATATAGTGAGTTTTGTTTTATATTTCAAATATGCTTCCCTTTCAGATATTACATCAACATTAACTTTATTTTTCAATTTATTATTTCAATACAAACTTTCATTGAACAAAATTCGAAAAAATATTGACATTGAAAAACTTATACTTGTCAACAAACTTTTTGCCAAAAATCACATACGTGCCGGATGAAATGAAAATTACATTAACATAGATATGAAATGGATATGAAAAAAAAAAAAAAAATACTTCTAGACATTTAAAAATGAATTATAACTTCAAATTATACCTATTTTACATTAGTATATATTTTGCAGCTATAAAGTAAAAGTAGAGGATATGTATATAAAAATGTAATGTTTACATGTTAAAACCTGAGAGCTTTCTTTTTAGTGTCACTTGGAAGTTAGATAATTCTGAGAGATGCCCGATTGCAAGTGACAGGCTAGGTCATACTTAACAGAATTTAGATGCCTGAATATCTAAAAATATATGCAACAATATACACAACCCACGTTGGACTTGAGAGTACCAATACCCCACCTGAGCCATCCACTGTAGAAACTACAGTTTGAGCTCCATTAAAGGCAACTGATTTTTTTCATTACCAATGCCTGAGCTACCAGTCATAAAAATAATAGTTCTAGATCTGTAAAGGTTACTAATTTATCCTATTGCCAGTTTCCACGATGTATACATGCTGCAAGAGACTAATGTAAATGTGTGTATGATTGGGGGGGATTAGGATTCCATCACTCACATAAGCAGGAATAGCCTCATGCATTGTTGCCCTCCACTATTCAATGTAGACTCTGGAGGCAGACAAATCTATCAGTTTTGAGTTTTCATTTTAGATAACTTTTATTTCATTCATACTTCCATTTGCAAATCAGAATTTAGGATTTTAAAATAATAAATTGAATAAAATTTAATCATACTTCAGAATTACCATTTCTTTCATATTATATTTTTCACAATTTTCAGATTTTACCATGTTCCCTAAATTACAAAATATTAATTATTATTGACATTTAATATAAACTTGACTAATATTTTTTGGGTTTTAAATTACTATTATTTTTCTCAATAGTATAACTAATTATGAATACACAAAATGTGATTTGCAATTAAATCTGCCAAAGATTTTTTAGTCATGTATGTAACATAATTGCTGTGCACTAAGAGGATTAATACTGAAAACAAAACAAAAAATAAATGCATTTCTAGAAAATATTAACAAGAAATTAAAACTGAAATCCATGTTTTGAAAATGCCTCACATTAAATTTCCTAATCTGTAAAAAATAATTATTTAATCACATCACAAAACATCAAAGATGAGGCAAAAAATTCACAGGGAATTCTAAATGGAAACGGCAAAATAAATATATGAAAGTGAAAAAATAATCCATATTGTTTCATGTACTTTGGATCATCCACATATGGAAAAATTCTTTTTTTTCTGTAGCATATAAAAGATGATTATTAACTGTAAGCTTATATTAATACATTTAATGTCTCAATAGGTACACTCAAAATTTAATCTTGATAAATTTTGTGAAATTTTAATGTAAATTGACTATATTACAGCATTTGCATTGCAGGATATCTTTTATTATCCTATAAGAACAGCAAAAATCTTCTCTATAGGCATATTAAAAATTATACAAATATGACAACGGAATATATCTTTTATATTATTCTATACCAAATTATACTGAACTATACCTCTGTTGACAGTTGTTACAGGAGAATAAACTGAATATTAATTCTTCCCAATCATGAATTTGAAAGGCAAAATTCTACCCCCTTTTATTACTTTAAGGTTTACTTAAAAAAAAACACACACACAAAAAGGCCTTAGGGAATAGGAAATAAAAATCTTTACAGCAGAACATTTTCACTAAGAGCTTCATCATATCGATATTCAGTATCTACATATTTTTCTATGAACCATGAAAGTTGGCAGAGATCTCATCAAACTTTTGTCATTCATTCCAGCAGAAGTTTGAAGTCACAGGTTGTTCTTTATTTAGTTAGAAAATCAAATATCACTCTTTATCAACTATATAATTAACAGATACAAACAAGACCAGAATAAGACCTTTAGAGGCCCTAAGCACTTAAAACAGTGCCCCCTACATATATTTGCACCTGTCTTTTCCCCATTTTTTCTCTCTCGGTCTTGGTTTAGTTGCACCATGCGTTCCACGGTAAGACCGAGAATGGGAAATTTTTGCAGTGCCCCCTTTCCTTGATGCCCTAAGCATGTGCTAATTTTGCTTTAATACAGCTCTGAATACAAGCTATAAATACAGCATAAAAAACCTTGATTAAATATGAGCTCAAGCTTTAAGATTACCTGAAAAATAAATTCATTAAAATATAGCAAATCAATCTGGCAGCTGAAATTTCCAAATGGCTTTTAAAATAGCTACAAATGGTTATCCTATTTATGAGCTGAGCATAAGATAATTCTCTCAAATATGAATCTAAGTGATCTCATTCAGTTGCACAGTTTTTATGATGCCATTTTCTCCAACTTCAGAATTTTTTAGTGTTGTGAATACGTTTATTAATGTCTCACAATTTTGTAAATAGTCCACAGCATGCTATGCACAGAACAGTCCAAAATTTTTCCTCTGCAAAATAGAGAAACAACTGTTAACTTATCCATCCTGAAAAAAACTAAATTGGCTTACTAAGATAAAATTAATTTGGCAGTCATATAAAACCCTGATGTTATGAAATGTCACATTTATTCACTACGGGCACAAAACTACACCCTCTGGTGACAGTTTTTGTTTGCCAAAAATGGTCAACAGGAAAATATGTAGGTACCTAGTATTCTGTGCTTATGGTACTCGATACAAATTAGATACAGTACAAATATAGCAGATCTCCCTCCAACAAAGGACAAAGTCATTTCAAATCAGAGGAACTATATTTTGCAGTTAAAGGATAAAATAAATACTACATAAAAAGTTACTA